CCCGATTAGGATCACAAATATCTTTTCTTTCTATCCACAATTCATTCCATAACAAGAAAGAACCTTGATTTATTTGCTTTTGGAACAAGTTTTCAATGACTTATACTGAAACCACATTTCCTGGTTCTCTGAGAGAGTTAGCCTGTCATCTGGAAAGGTGTAACTTAAATTTACACAGCCAACAATTTTACATATTTTAAAGGGATGTCTTACACAAGAAAACTTATCTATACCTATTTTTGCCAAAACTGGACTCTTTCTTTTTGGTGATTTGACCTTAGATTATTCTTTTATGATTTCTCTCCCCTGAGAACCTGGTCCTAGAAGTCACGTTCTATGTGGGTGATTACTCTTGCGGCATCTCTGGAGATGAGGCTTCTACTCTCTAAGAATGATGACGGAAGTCCCAATGAGTTTAATTACAGAAGAGTCACCTGCCTCTCCCCTCTTTTTTTATGGTTGCACCAATTAAATGATTCAACAGTATTTGTTGTAGTTAAGATATAAATACAATGTCCAAATACTCTTCCCTTTACTAGCGACAGAGCTTGCCTATACCAACTTCTACAAGGCTGGCTTTTTCATTAATTGAAATGTATTGGCTTAATAAATAGCAAAATATGAACATGAAATTATTCTCTATTCCTCAGATAAGCCAAACTCAACGACGCTATATGAAGTCAGACAAATATAATTGCTTGAAAATAAAAATACTGTAAATGCTATTTCATTTCTGGAACACAACTGCAAACATTTACTTAGACCATTCAAAGTTCTTTAGTGACCTGTGTTCTTTTTTCTAGCTTGATGCTAGTTATTTCATATTTAGGACAATGGAAGATTTGATGCCTTTTGTTTATTATAGGGAGCTCTGGTGGCCCAGTGCATGAAAGTTTTGCTGCCAAACCAAAGGCATGGGGTTCGAGGCCACCATTTGTTTTGTGGAGAAAGATGAGCATGTGATTTCTATCTCTGTAAACCTACTGCAGCTATGAGTTGGCTTTAATTCAATGGTAACTAGATGAATCTAAATTTATTCATCGAAACAAAGATTTAATCTTCATTTGGTTGCATTACGATTTTGATATTTATATTAAGAATTCTCAGTAACTTAGTACGTTAATTTTTTTTTTTTTAAAGGCTGAGATGAGACAGATTGCCTAAGTCATGGGACGAGCTGATCAGGTGGAAACATTTCTTGATCCTGTGGTGGTGCATGAATTGTTGTCTTACTCTCTTTGTCCACAGAGACGGCATAAGTGCAAGAAGTGTTATGTTTTATGTCAAGAGAGAAGATCCAACAGTCTAAAACTTGGATGGAATGACTCTTATCTCAGGTAATGTAAGAAATGTTTTTGTATGTGACTATCTTCACTAGTTGTTACATTATGTAAGGGTACGTTAGTATGGTGACTGGGAAATTAATAGTCTTTCTAAAGCATTTCTAAGTGATTTAAATAATCAGCTATGTTAGAAATACTTGTCGCTTAAAGGCAACAAGTCAATCCTGACTCATAATGACCCGCCATGGGATTTTCAATGCTGTGAAGTTCAATGGGAGAATGGGAGGCTACTATCCATCGTTCTACCATGGAGCTGCTGGTAGGTTTGCTCTGTCGGAGTCATGCAGCCTTTAGGTTACCTACTTAGCTCCCTATGTACCACATTACCAGAGCTTTATAATATATAAAATGTACAGGGCTTGACTCATTTTATAATATTATTTGGATATTTCATACTGTAAAACTCTGAAGTACGTATGCTTTTTAAATTAATTTTAATGAAAGTTTACAGAGACTTTGGATTTCCATTCATTCATTGTTGCAAATTTATCCCTCCCCAACCTCCCCCCCACCTCAGTTCGCTCTTCTCTTTGAAAAGTAAAATAAAAATTCTTTCATCGTTACACAACCCTCCCCCCAGGTCCACTCCACTGTGCAGCCTTCATTCTGGACTCCTGTCATGACAAAAATACCTAATAACATATTCCTTTTAAACAGTTCTCTCCCTCATCTGTTTCAATGCGGTATATATATGCTTTTTAACATCCATATTTTTAGGGAATAATTTTACAAGTGACTAATTAAGGGCTATTTGCAGAACAGATTTTTTAATTAAAAAAGAATCAATAAATGTGCTAAATTAGCATTGTTTACTTGTTGATAGGGAATGATCTAAATATGTAAAAGTTGAATGACTTACTTTCAAAGACTTAAAAGGATGAAATGACATGGGGGCTAAAACAATGGACTTGAACATGACAACAATTATGAGGATGGCACAGGGTGAGACATTTTCATTCTGTTCCACATCAAAGCATATGGTTTCTATGAGTCAAAACTGACTTGACAAACTAATACGAATAGTAAAGATGCTATTTAGGCATAAAAGTCAAAGTTATTACTTTAAATCACAGGGATAATGGCTTGGAAAAGAGGAGAAATGAAACTGACCATTATATTTAGCAAAGTGAATTTGTCACAGAAAGAACAGAGAATGAAATTTGCTTCAAAGAGATGTGATATTGAATGTCATAGAATTTAAACACAATGAGGATACTGTACTGTATATATGTAGAGAGGAAATTGGGAAAATTGCTATAATAGGAAATTGTTGTTGTTGTGTACCGTGGAGTCAGAACTGATTCATAGTTGAAGGTTTTCAGAGGCAGTTAATCTCACTTGAGGAAATTACCCATCCTTCTGCGGAGCAGCTGGTGGATTTGATCTGCATGCTTTCAGGATTGCAGTGCAGCTTCTTGCCACTCGGCCATCAGAGCTCCCAATTATAGGAAATAAGGGAGACAATTACAGGAGCATTGTGGTGAGAGAAAGGGGATGAAGTCTAGTGCCCACACAGAGAGTTTGGGCAAAGAAACACAGACATCCATGCATTGTCAAAGCAAAATTATACAATCAGCATTAGAGTAAATGCCAATATCGATTTAATAGGCAAATGGGTGTCATCTGAAGGATAATATTTGTGCTCTTTATGTTGTGTGTGTGTGTCTGTGTGTGTATCTGCCTGTGTGTGTATAATCTTCCTTTTGTCCTTGTACTCTCTCTTTTACCTTGCTCACCAAAACAAAAGGTCAACAACAAAAACTTGTGCAACATCAAACATAACTCGTCTGCACAGACACACTTCCATATACTTATTTTTATTTTATTTTTCTGACAGTACTGCACATAGCTCTATGTTCATTACTTTGTTGTTCAATAGTGTCTTTTCAGCACCAAGTTTAAAAATTGTGCAATACATCTTTAAGATTTCAATTACTGGTTCATACAGTTTTGTGATTTCTAGAATATACAGGGAGCTCTGGTGGCCTAGTGGCAAGAAGCTGCACTCCAATTCCAAAGGCATATGGTTCGAGGAGTCCAGCTGCTCTGGGGGAGCTGGGTGGGCAATCTCCCACTGTACAATTAACTGCCTCTGAAAACCAGTTTGGTCAGCTATAGGTCAGTTCCAACTCTGCGGTACTCAACAGTAACAGAATATTGAAAATATTTTCATCGATCAACAAGAACACAAATATTATTTTTATTTTTTATGTTAAAGAATACATAAATGAATAAATATTACATCATATATATTACAATATGCATATTATATATAATTTTATTTTCTCTCATATGGAAAGTTACTGGGGTAACAACATTTGTATAATAATCTGCCTTTTCTGCATATGTTTCTAATTTCTTTTATGCCTGTCATTGAAAAAAATCACTGAAATTATGGACTGCCTTTTAATCAGCTTTGTAATTTTAGAATCTTTGACAATATAGAACGCCATCAACTTTATTTGTTGCATGAGTAAACAGATTCTCAAGTCACCAATCATCTTTATATTTCTAGGTGTATATGTACTGAATTCTGAAATAAGGACGCACAGGAGAACTTATGGACCAAAGAAACAATGTGACTGAGTTTATCCTCTTAGGTCTCACTCAGAATGTCCAGGGTCAGAAAATATTATTTGTTGTGTTTTTGCTCATTTACATTGTGACGATGGTGGGCAACCTCGTCATTGTCATAACTGTGGCCATCAGTCCATCCCTAGATGCACCGATGTATTTCTTTCTTGGCTACTTATCATTTCTGGATGCTGTTTACTCCACTACAGTTACCCCAAATATGCTTATGAACTTACTCAGTGAAAAGAAGACCATTTCTCTCCAAGCTTGCTTGACTCAGCTTTTCATAGAACACTTATTTGGTGGAGCTGAGATATTGCTTCTGGTGGTCATGGCCTATGACCGCTATGTGGCTATCTGCAAACCCCTGCACTATATGACCATCATGAACCAACGAGTGTGTGTTCTGCTGTTGCTGTTTGCCTGTGTTGGAGGTTTCGTGCATGCAGTTGTTCACCTTCTCTTCGTTTACAACCTTCCTTTCTGTGGGACCAATGTCATTGACCACTTTGTGTGTGACATGTACCCCTTATTAAAACTTGCCTGCGTTGATACCTATATCATTGGTCTCTCTGTGATTGCCAATGATGGGGCGATATGTACAATCATCTTCATACTGTTACTCATCTCCTATGGAGTCATCTTGCACTCTCTGAAAAATCTTAGTCAAGAAGGGCGACACAAAGCCCTATCCACCTGTGGTTCCCATATCACTGTGGTAGTCTTCTTCTTTGTTCCTTGTATTTTTATGTACATGAGACCTCCGTATATCTTACCTATTGATAAATTCTTGACTGTGTTTTACACTGTTTTCACCCCTATGTTAAATCCATTAATATACACTCTGAGAAACGCAGAGATGAAAATTGCCATGAAGAAGATTTGGACCAGACAAAGAAAATGAGGTTGCAGACAAATACAAAGCCTACCAACAACAGGGCTAAGAAAGACTGAAAAAAGAAGAATTGATGCCTTTGAATTGTATTGAATAAACGATGGACTGTCAGAAAAATAAACAATCTATCTTGGAAGAAGTACAACCTGGGCTGTGCCCTGTTGTTTTTAGGTGCTATTGGGCCAAATACGAGTTATAGTGACCCTATGAAAAACAGATCCAAACCCCGACCTATCCTGTGTCATCCTCATCATCTATGACACACTTGGACCCATTGCTGCAGTTGTTGTGTTAATCCATCTCATTGAGAGTCTTCTCTCTTTTGTTGACCTTTCAGCTTTCCAAGCACGAAGTCCCTTTCTAAGGAATAGCCTCTCCTAGTAGCATGTCCAAAGTCTGTGCGATGAAGCTTTGCCATCCTTTCCTCCAAGGATCATTCTGACTGCTTTTTCTAATACATGTATGTTTATTCTTATAGCAGTCCATGGGATATTCAGTACTCTTTTCCAATACCACAATTCAAAAGCATTGGTTCTCTCATCCTTACTCCTTGTCCAGTTCTCAGATGCATAGCAAGTTATTGGAAAGACCGTTGCCTGAATCAGGCACACTTCCTTTGTCACGCTAACATCATTGCTCCTCAGTACTTCGGAGAGAATGCTGACAGCAGACTTGTCCAATGCAATATGTCTCCTGATTTTCTGTCTGCTAGTATGAAGGGTGTTGATTTTAGAACCTAATAAGATGAAATCTTTGATGACTTCAATCTTTTTTCCATCTATCATGATGCTGCTTATTGGTCCAGTGGTGAAGATTTTTGTTTTCTTTATGTAGAGATGAAATCCATATTGAAGGCTACAGTCTTTGATTTTCTGCAGCAAGCATTTCAAGTCCTCCTCACTTTGTGCAAGTGTAGTGGTGTCATCTGGATAATTTAAGTTATTGATGAGTCTGCCTCCAATTCTGTTGCCATGATTTCCTTCAGAGAATTCACTTTCTTAAATAATTTGCTCAGCATACAGATTGAATAGGTGTGGAGAGAGGATACAGTAGTGATGCACATTTAATTTTATGTAGCATTCCCTTGCTCTGTTTAGTCTTTTCGCTCTAGATGGTTTATATGTTCATAATTAAGTGTTCTGGGAGTTCCATTTTATTCAATATTAAACTTAGTTTGTTACAACCCACACAGTCAAATGAGGCAAAGATAGTGAAACTTTTCCCCATATACTTTGAATATGTTGAGTATATTTGAGTATGAGGAAGGAACAGTCCTTGGAAAAAAGACATCATTTTGGAAAAGGTAAAGGGTCAATAAAAGAGAGGAAGACACTTAAGGAAATGGATTGACACAGTGACTGTAACAATGGGTTTGAGCATGGCAGAGATTGTGACAATGGTACAGGATAAGATGTCATTGTGCTCCGGTGTTCACAGTCTAACTATGAGTTGTAGCCAACTTGACGGCACCCAGTAACAATAATTGTCAGTGAAGAATTATCACTGCCAAGAAAAGAAAACTAAAGAATAATCCCAGATTATTCCAGAGAACTTATATGTAATTACTTATAATTGTAGTCAATTATTTCCTCACATTAAATAATTTGTGTATTATAAAAATGACACTTATTTGAACACTTCTAATACTAACTTTTGTTTAGGGACATATTTAACATTTTATTTCTCAAGAAAATATGTTAATTTTTTTGTTGTGTAATGATTTGTTGACTCTGTAGACTTTAGCTTTGTGAGATAATTTACGCAATTGTTAATATTAAAACTTAGTTGATAAAATACTTCCCCAAGTCTTTTAAATAAATCTAGTATTTTTTTAACTGTTGGTAGTGCTGGTTCGGTTTGGTGCTGTGTGCCATTGAGTCAGAACTGTCCCATAGTTGATGTTCCAGTGAATTTTCAGAGACAGTAATTGCACCTGAGATTACCATTCTTCTCATGTGGAGTAACTGGGGGATTTGAACTATCTGCCTTTGGGATTACAGCACAGATTCTTACCATTAGGCCATTATAAGTTTAAGAATAATAAATTTTTAAATAAAACATAAAAATATGATTCATCTCATCCAATATGGATACAACCGTATTAACATTGTTTTTGTTGCTATGTGCCTTCCGGTCATCTAAGACTCCAGTGAGCCTTTGAACAATAGATGGAAATTTTGCACTATTTTATGCTATCCTCAAGATCTCCGACATGCTCAAGTCCATTGTTACAATGACTATGTCAACCTATATTGTTGAGAGTCTTCCTCTCTTTCTTTGAATCTCACGTTTCCCAGGATGATGCCTTTTTCCAAGGACTGGCCTCTCCTCCTAGCATGTCCAGTGTGTGAGATGAGGTATCACCATTCTTTCCTCTAAAGAATACCTTGGTTGCACTTTCTCTAAGACACACTTGTCTGCTCTTTTGACAGTTCATAGTAATTTTTGCTAACAACACAATTCAAAGGCCTTCTTTAACTCAATTAAAGACTTGATAAACAGAGTGTATGTTTTCCTGTTTTTTTTTAGATTTGGAAAATATTTAAAGTAAATAGTTCTGCTTTTATTGCCTGTTGTTGTTGTGTACTATCGAGTTGGGAACCAACCGATAGTCGACCCTCTGGAGAGATTTCAGAGGCTGTTATTTGCAGAATGAAATTGCCCATCCTTCCCCCTAGGAGCAGCTTGTGGCCTAGAACCACGTGCCTTTAGGATTGTAAGGCAGCTTCTTCCCACTAGGCCACCAAAGCTCTTTTAGCATATTAAATTTTACTAGAAATGCTCCATTACATTTCTAAATTTATAATGAAAAATATGCGAAAAGAATAGACTGTCTTTCTTAGCTATTTTCTCATTTGGGAAATCACTTTATCTCCTCAAGTGGGACAAATTTATCTGGTTTATAACTTCATAAAGATAATACATCCTTCTTAAAAAGCTTGAAATTATCTAGTAGCATTTTGTTTATTTTTCAAAATACTTTCTCTTCCTTGCTTATTTTATTTCATGACTTTCTAATGGAACCTTGATTCTGGCTTTATTTGTCATGATTTCATTACCACAAAGATGAGAATTTCTGTTTTATCACCCATCTCTTAGTTAGGGAATACAGATTATCAAATGATAAAGATACCAGAATGTATTCTTTTATTACATGATGTCACTGATAGAATATTTGTGAAAATTGCTCTTCTGAATGAGTCTTAAAAGAAGAAATTAAGTCCCACAAGGATAAATATTGTATAAGACCGTTATTGTAGAATGAGTATAAGGATCCAGGAGGGGTGGGAGAGGCTGGAAGCAGAGGGATGTGGATGTGCAGGGGGAAGAAAGGATTAGTCATTGGGTTGTACAATTTCATGGGTGGAGCGGTAAGGGAAATGAAAAGAATTTGTTCAAATATGTATCAGAATTTTGTAAATAAACTAATGAAAAGAAAAAAAAACAACAATTCAGAGCTTACCTTCTATCAGATTTCTGAGCTGTAAATTATAGGTGAGGAGATTGCTCATCTTTCTTCCTTGGAACCATTGGCAGATTTGGATCTGCAAAGAAATGTGATCTCTGAGTTTGCCGTGCAGTTCTCTACCGGACCAGAGATTCCTTCAAAGGAAAATATTAGTAATGTTACAATATTACTGGGAAAACGTGTGGTCAAAGATACTCGTGGACTCTGCCTTTCCTGTTGGAGTCTTATTTCTTGAGCCAATGGGGAATTTAGTTCACCAGTAAAACATTGTATGAGTTTGAATTTTAATTTTTATTCCTAGGACTGAGATTAGAAAAAGTGCTAAGAGCTATGGTTCTGGGATGATTAAGTGCTTGGGTACTAACAACAAAGTTTGGTAGCTTGAAAACGTTCACTGCTCCAGAGGGAAATATGTGGGAGTCTACTTCCATAAAGTTTATTGCCTTGGAAATACTATGGGGCAGTTGTATTCTGTAATATATTGTATTACAATATTACTTTACGATGCTGTGAGAGGGATTTGTCTTGGAGATAATGGCCTTGGCTTTGGTTTTTATTATTACATGCACACTCCTTATATCACTCCAACTATTTGTAAGCATAACAATATTCATAGAATACTTAGTTAACATTACTAAATTCTTTACTTTCAGATATTTAAATAAAGTTTTCTAATTTGTATAGTTATGTGATAAGAGAAACTTGAATCTATTGCTGTCAAGTGGATTCTGACTCAGGGTGACCTTTTATAATTATTCTGAAGCTGCACATTTTTGCAAGGGTAGAATGTCTCAGCTTTGAACCATTGACCTTTTGGTTAGCTGCCCAACATGTGCCATACTGTGCCACTAGGGCTTCTTGTAAAACATTGACTGATTGTTTTGTTTACTGATCTATATATTCTCTGAATGCAGGGAAGGTTACATAGTTCTTTTTGTGTTTATTGTTTCTTGCACAATGCCTAGTATGTAGAATTCACCTCAGAAATACTGTGTTCTTGAATTTTTAATTTATTGAAGCCAAAATTGTTAGTGGTGAATTTTTATGAACTCTGTTAAATATATGTACCACTTTTTTTCGGTGCTTATTGTACATATTTATCTTCCTATACTTTTCATGATGGAGTTCTGGTGGCCTACTTGTAAGAAGCTGCATTGTGATTATAAAGGCACATTGTTTTAATCCATTACTCTGCAGAAGAATGGGCAACTGAAACTGCCTCTGAAAACCTGCTAGAGGTCAACTGTGGGTCAGTTCTGACTGCATCGTAAACAACAACTACTTGCTCCATAGCATAGCTATTAGTTTTCATATACAGATGTTCACTTTGAAAATGCTCTCTTGATTTATATTTTGTTTTTTAAAGTTTTCATTTCTTCCCTCACATATACCTAGAACATTCCTTTGTGTTTCATTGAATTTGTCGATTATAATTATTTATGTTTTCTGTTATTTGTTAGGTGTCATCAAGTCAACTATGACTCTTAGTGGCACTTTGGACAGCAGACCTGAATCTTGTTCTGTCATACACCGATCTCAT